ACACTTGCACGTGCAAACTGCCACTGTAAACCCTTTTAAAGATCGCTTTAAAAGTTAATAAAGTGTTTAAGTTGCGATGATCAAAGATATGCACCAACTGGACACACTGTAAAACAATTAGAATTGTAATTTGTGATAAAATGTTCAATATCTTCCCCATATTTAAAAGGGATGGATCTCAAAAAACTGAAAGTGTGGTCTGCAAAAACATATTCACTGACCCAAAGTATAGCTCCAGTGATGATAAAAACACAAAGGTCAAAGATGGATGTGAAGAGTTTGAAGACAAATGTTTTATGAATTTATGAGGAGGAGAAAGAACAATATTTCTAAATTAGTGTGATTTTATAAAGTATGTGATTTTAAATAGGCACAGGTACCTAAATTTAAAATGCAAATCGTGTAAACAAGCTTTTGGTTTGTTTACCTACATACCTAATAGTATGTGTATTCTCGAGTTGACCAAAAAACACTTTAGGGGACTTTTTAATAGGGAAAATGGGGAAATTTTGATATTTGCACTTTCTAATAGTTGGGCAACATGGTATATGCTGAATTTCAATAAGATAAAATTGATTCACATAGCTAGCCTACTGACCACTTAACAAGCAGAGCTCTGGTCCCATCTATCAGAAGCATAAAAATCTAGTTAGTGTGACTATATTTAGGGACTTGCTCCACCTCTGTTTAATAATCTTTCAGATACTAGAACTTGAAACAAGTCAACAGCAGGAGTTCGGGATTCATTCCTGGATCCCTAATGTTCCCTCCTTCAGGATCTGCAGTGGTGCAATGCCCGTCACTTGCAGCCAGCTCTTTAGCCTGGCTCTCCATCCTGTCCCCACCCGCCACCAGCACTCACTCGTCATCAGGTCAGCCCCACCCATCCAGCTGACCTAATTCCCTACCACAGCCAACCTGGTCTTTCCCTCGTAACGGCTCCTCCCACTGGCATGGCTGCCGCCCCAACTCCATCCTTTACAGCCTAACCCGAGTCCCACATCCTCCATGAAGTTGTCCTGACCGCCTCACCCCGCAACAGATCGGCTTCCACTCCCTGAAATCCTCATGCAATGCAGTCATAATTTAGCACTTCATTACATGCTCTGCTGAGTCATTCTGTGATTGCTTCCGGCATATTCTTCTTTTTTTTTTTTTCCCTCTAAGAGAAAAGAATTTTGACTGAGACAAATAATTCTTCTAGATTCCCCTCAGAGTTGACTGGCACTTGACTGAATGTCGTCTAATGACATCATGCCATTTCAAATGGAGAATATTTCTGCCCCTGTTCAAGGGCAGTCTAAAGGGAAAACAAAAGTAGTACCTTCAGTAACAACTGTTGTTGGCAAACCTGCTACCTCTGAGATTGTACCGGTATTACCCTACCGGCCTGAATCACAGAGCATTTGCAATGGGGTGACGGCAGGTGGCACAAAAAAGGAAGACAATCGCTAATAATACAACCACATCTTGCTTTCTGGAGTCATAAAAGGTTCTCCGAGCATCAAATTCATCAGCTTGTCAAGAAATAAAACAGCCTGTCACAACAGAGACCTTCAAAAGATACCCAGAATCTCACCACTGCTCATTACCTCTACTACCACAGCCCTGAGCGAAGCTGCCATCACGTGTCACCTGCAGTTCTGCAACAGCCACTAACTGGTTTCCCTGCACCCACGCTGGCCTCCTCACAATCTACTCTCAACAGCGACCTAAATGAGCCTGCTGAAATGCTCAACAGATTGTGTCAAAACCCTTCAATCATAGATCAGTCTGACTCCTCGGAGGAAACAGATGGCACATTCAAAGTGGGTGATTTGAGGAGAGTTCACATCATAACACAGCGGCTAGCAACACAAAGGTACTTCATCCCCTTCTAGACCTGAAATGTGAAGAGAAGGGGTAGAGAGGGAGACAGAGAGCTCCACCGAGAAGGCACCTAATTGGAGATGTGACCCTAAGTCTAGAGACACTCCAGCCCACACAATCCTGCGGGAAGGGAATATATACGCCAATCTCATCCTTCTCCCTCACTCTCATCCCCTATCAATACTCCCCATGGCCAAATGCAAACAGAAGGCAGAAAGCAAGGTTGCCTGTCAGTGCAGGTCCACCTCCTGGGGCACATCTACAGAGCAGGGTAGAAAAGGGTAGAGTGAATGTGGGGAGGTAAATGGAAGCTATTCAGCCAAATGTCTTCCCATCTCAATCAGTGTATCTGAAAGTACGAGATCCAACCTTATCTCCTGTTCTGTTTGCTAACCTCTCTACTCAGTAGCTCTCCACTCACCAGGCACACCCCGCCTCAGGTCCTTTGTACTTGCTGCCTTCTCTGCCCAGAATGCTTTTCCCCCAGATACACACATGGCTTGTCCCCTCACCTACTTCAGCTCTCAGCTAAAACGTTACATCAGCAGAGGTTTCCTTTACCACCTTATATAAAAACCTCCCTCGCTCCTATCCCACCCATGCCTGGCACATCTATCTCCCTTATCTTGCTTTATTTTTCTCCACAGCACTTCTCTCTAACATTAGATAGATAGATGGATGGATAGATATTTTTTTCTCCTTTTTAATTGACTGCCTCTCTGGCCTAGAACAAAAGTTTCATAAAGGCGTCCACTTGGCCTCTTTTGTTCACTCCCTTATACCCAGTGTCTAGAACAGTGCCTGGCACAAAGAAGGCACTCACGTATTTGTTGCATGAATGAAAATGAATGAATGGAACAGAAGAACCCATAGCTAAGGACTCTTTCCACTGTTCAGAGGTTTCACTCCTACTATCAAATCATTGTTAAGCAAATAAATAGGCTCCTGATAATCAGACAGGAAGCAGGTGGCAAGCATTTTTTATTGGCAATGGCACAAAATTGAGTGCTGTCAGTAAACCCCTAAGAATAAATGGAATCTTCAGTCAGAACCAAAGGAATGACAGCAGTGTCTTCTGTAAACAACTCCTAGCAAGGTTGTTTCTTCTTACGACTATATGATCATTAACCTACCAACCTAGTCCTTCTATAAGACTCAGTCTTCTCCTCTGTAAAATGTGTAAGGATTGAATGATACAATGTATGGAGAGCATTTATTGTGTATGGAACCCAATAAATGGACACTATAATGATTAAAACATTGAGGAAGCCATGAGAATGAGATACCATGTTATCTTCCTATGATCTGGAACTGTTTATCTTAGACTTTTAAAACGTGAGCTGGAATAATGACACGGAAAAGAAGTATAAGATGCTTTGCTATCCACCACACAGTTGGGCCTAGATCTGAAAGACATCCTACAGTACCAGTGCTCCATATCAGAACCTAGTTTCCACACCTGGCCCAGACTTTGGCCAACCCTTTTGCAGGCCGGTACCTTGTTGCATCCATTTCTGCATCGCTCATTATATCTAAGCACTTAGAACATAAGTGCTGGTTTTTCCCTCATAGGAATTAAGCAGGGCATGTGACTGAAAAAATAGTGTAAGCAAAAGAGAAAGAGCAGATCAGTAAAGCTCCTGGTGATGCTCCTGTTTTTGACTTACCCCTCTAACCATGGAGGTCTCTGTTCTGGTCCGCAAATTAGACCAAATTCTGATTCCCTTTTCTCCACTAACATTTTATCTATCCATAGCCTCACCTGCTGGGTCAATTCAGTTAACTACGCAAAAGGTGACCCCATAGTCTTAGGTCAGATAAAAAGAAAAAGGCTTGACCTGAATCCACTGAACAATCCATCACTTAGGAATACTGCAAAGATCCTGTAGTAGCTTTTTCATTGATGGGAGATTTCTTTGCAATTTTTTGCAGAAGATTTCTGTAGAAGGACACACTGGTGGGCTAACTAACCTGGGAAGCTAGATTCAAAAGGTAAGTTTCCTTTCTACCCTAAAACCCATGAAACTTAAATCTCCAGTTAAAATATTCCCTCTGCTACTATGTGTATACGTGTGTATTCAAGCCCTTGCTTCTGTTATTTTAGTCATAAATATACAATATAATAATTATCATTACTAATTTTTGCCAAAACTGAGGCTTCCAACCTCAGGCATGAAAATCAAAGCAGGTCCCTCCAAGATTAAGCCTAGGGATTGATCTTACTAAGAGATCTTATTTTAGTAAGCAGCCTGATGCTTACTTGTTAGTGCTAAAAAAAATCATTCTGATCACTTCTAGTGACAGATGGGTAACCATTTCCACAATAACTAACTTGGGACCAATTCCAATTGAGGAACGAGAAGAAAAACAAAACTATAATTCACTACTCATTCCGCAAACACGTTTCAAAGTGATAGGTCCCATCTACTTCGAGGCCTCAGTGAATGGCAAGTAGTACAAAATTCACACTCTTATTACAGCACTTCCCAAACTGTGCTGTTTTCCTCTCTGTCTTCCCCAACCAGGCTGTGCCATGCTCCTGATCAGGGGCTGTTTTATTTCTTTGCATTTCCATTGTTCGACATTGTGACCAACACACTGCTGGTGCTCAAATGATTGAATGGCTACTAAAATGTCCCCCCACGATGCAGGCGTCAAACCTGGCACTGTGGGTTATAAATTAAACATCATGGAATGGCATGACCGCAGTCTGGCCACTTCTTTTCCCCTCTATGTCCCAAAACTATAAGCAGGGTGGGGAAAGTGCATTATCCATACGAGAACCTCCCGATGTCTGGCAAAATGGAGTGGGCTGTCCGACCCACCCGGGCTGCTTCAGTCCTCCAGGCACAGAACAAGATTTTCTCCGCTCCCTAAGGCAGAGGGGGCCCAGGTACTGTCCTCTCCCTCCAACCTTGACAACGACCCCTCCCCAACCGGCCCCACAAGCATTCCACTCTCCAGCCCAAGCCTGGGCGCCGGGAGCGTCCCAGAGGTGGGGGGGGGGGCGCCGCGGAGCACTGTGGGAGCTGTAGTTCCCGGGTGGGTTCCGCACCCCGGCGGCCCTGAGGACCAGACTCCCGCTCCCAGAAGCCCCCGCGCGGGCGCCTCGCCCAGTCAAGCCAGCTCACCTGTTCCGTGGACGTGACTGTTTCTACCGAGTCGTCCTGCAACCGCTCCCGCGAGTGCTCGGGCCTCAGACTGTACAGCGGCTCTGACCAGACAGGGGAGGAAGATGGAGGGCAACAGTAGGTGAAGGAACTCGGAGAAGCCATGCTCTGGAAAGCAGCAGGCGGTGTATAAGACTCAGCTTCGTCAAAGAACAGCGCGCCTTGAAACTCTAGCGGGCTAAGGCGCTACGGAGAGCGGGTAGAGTCAAAAGATTTTGAACGCGAATCGCTCCTGCCGCCTACACAACCTCAGGGAGTGAGTTGCTGGAATGCTGCCGCCCCCCATTGGGCAGAGGAGCTGCTGCAAGAGGCTCAGTTTCGTGGCGCGCAAGGAAGGATGTGTACATCTGAATTTCATTTCCCATACACACACCTTTTCAACATTCTGCTCATTCTCACTTACTTATGTCAGTAGTTCACAGTTTCGGGTGCCCAAGAACCCAATGAGGGTAACTTTTAAAAAGGCATTTCTGACAGCTCTCCTGATTGCCTCAGTCATACTATTATGAACAGAATTATTGCACACCTTTGGGTACATGACAACCGCCCAAGAGAAACCAGCAGCTTCTCCACAAAGGAATTGCCACCTCAGTAGTCAGTGATGGAGGGACGTGGCACTGCAATTCTCTCCTATCAATTTGGGGGTTAGAGTGCAGTAGCAGGAACTAAAACTCAGTAGAAGGGACAAGTGTAAGTGAAACAACCAAGAAAGTATTCACTCATTTATTCAGCAATTTTTTTTATAGAGCACCTACTACATGTCAGGCACCCGTGCTAGGCCTCAAGAATACAAAAGTGAACGAAACAAACAACGTCCCCCCCCCCGAGAACCTTACAGCCTAATGGAATTGATAGAATTAAGTGAACGAACACTAAAAAATCTGTGAACGCTAGTGATGAATTGTATGAAGAAAAATAACAGGGTCTGTGAGAGAAAGTAAACGAGGAGGGGACTAATTAGATTGGGTGGTCTGGCCAAGCCTCTCTGAGTAAGTGACATGTAAGCCGAGACCTGAAGGATGACAAGGAGACAACCGTGTTAACAACATGGGGAAGCGCCTCATGAGGGAAGGGCCAGCAAGCTTGACAGAACACGCCATAAATATACTCATGTGTGTTTGTATTCATTCTGATGTTTAATCTGAAGGTGTTCTGAATAAAAGAAATTCCTATTGAGTGGAGTTAATCATCATATATGCCTCCATTAAATGTTCAAGCTGTGATTTTAGGAAAACCCTGCTACCTTTGGACAAGCAATAGAAGAGGACCTCTTTCAGGGCCCACAACAAAAAGACTGCACCAAAATTATAACACCAAGAGGTTAAACTATTTAGAGTGGGGGTGAGGGTTTTGGGGGTGGGAGAAGATAAGATAATAACAGACTTTCCAGATAGACACAAACCCAACTTCCTGCTCGGAGCATTTTACTCTGTTCCCACTAAATTCCGAACCACATGTCCAGGACCCAGGGGACCGTGGTGCCATCCTTCACAACAAGCCATTCCCCTGTTCTCAGACTCCAGTGTCTAAGGATGAGGCTGGGATGGCCTACGGGCCTCAGGTAGGTAAACACTATCGCCCTGTCCATTTTAGAGATACCGTTGCTGAGTTAAGTCCTGGAGGTGCCGGAATATTTCTAAATCTGGGAATAAGTAGGTGTGTGGGTTAGGGTCACAGATATGGCTGTACAACGTGAAATAGTCTCATTATTATTTCCTCTGCATTGGCATCTTATTGTCTTTGCCTTAGTTCTATTTTGGAAAAAATGATCTGTTAAGGTCTGGGTCATATCTAAGGATTCTGCCTTCTTTGTAAAGTGTTGCTTTGCCAGCTAGAAATTTAAATTGAACTACTGAAAGAGTAGCTGGAACAGTTTTGTAACAGATTATTACATCTGTTACTGGTGCACCTAAAGCAATTGCCAATTGTATTCAGGAAATAGAATTCTATTTCTGAAACGCAATCTCCTCCACGGTGGGATCTGAACCATGTTAATGGAGCCGTGGCAAGAGTCTCCTGCAGGATAGTGTCTGTTCATGTGCTGGGCACTGAACTAAGTGCTGAGGAGAGAGTGGTGAACAAGACACACACATTCTCAGCCCTTACGGGTCTCGTGATTTACCAGAAGAAACAGACGTTAAACGATCATTACAGAATTGACTGTTTTATTGCAGTTGAGGGAAATGGCATGAGGGAGAAAGAAGCACGGCACGCTGTGAGATTGCATAGCAGGGGAGACTGAAGGTAGTCTGGAAGATCATGAGGAAATGCGTTAACCCACCCAGGTTGAGAGAACATACCAGGCAGAGGAAACCCAATGACAACAAAATCAAGTGAAACAAGGAATGGAAAATATGAGGAATTTATACTCTTCGGAGCATCAAAAAGAATTTTCAGCCTTGGATCAGCGGCGGCCCACCAGTTGTCCTTCCTCTGAGTTTAATAAAATGACTCATTCAAGAAGCAGAATGTACATAAATACTGGCAGTATGGCGGAGAATGATGTATTTACAAGAGAAAGTCTTAGCAATGATAATTAATTAATAGTCACTCCAGCTTGGACCGCAGATGGTTTGGGTTTATTTTACCCAGTGTATGATATTTTTCTAAATTAAACTGTGAACTGTAATTGTTTTTTTAAAAAATAATATAAAATGTGGATAGTGTTATTTTGCACTTCTATCTAGAGCAAGAAAATAAGAAAAAAAAGTAAAGGTCTAAATGAACCACTAGAGGGCACTTCTGACCCTAGAGTAGCTTCTAGAGTAAGCTTTAGAACCGCTTTCACTGCATTACTCACACAAGTCCATATGTCAGCAAGGATTGTTTCCTTTAATATCTTGCAAATCTATGTAATAATACATATTTTGGAGAGTTTGGAAAATGGAAAGAACTCATCCATTATCCTGCTAGGTAATTAATTTTTCTCCCCCACAATTACTTCTCTCCCTGCATCTGTGGTCTCCTACTTTGCCTTCCCAGTCCCTGTCCCTCCTGTCTCCTGGATACAAGTGTTACCCAGCTCTTACCTAGGGCCAATCCCTCCCTCCCCCTCGTGCCCATTCTCCCTTGACTCTCTTAAGACATCAAATTGTTCCTGTACTTGATCATGCCCATCACCCACAAACAGGCTACTTCTCCACTCATGGGGGAAAAAAAGACATTTTTAACCCTCTTGATTCCACTCCTTCTTCAGCTACCTCCCCATTTCCCATTCCCTCTCTACCAGTCACTCCAATTCCTCTCCTCCCACTCTCTTGAACCCATTCCAAACTGGCTTCCCCATTGGCTCGTGTCAAGTCCCCGTTAAACTTCTAATTGCTAAATCCAAGGGCCAGTCTCAGCCTTTGTCTCATCTTCCTACCTGACCTCCTAGCAGCATGTGACGGGGTTGATCATTCCCTTCCCCTTGAAATACCTTCTTCTTGTAGTGTCTGGTACCGGCCTTTGCTATTTCCTCATCTCCCTCACGCTGTAACTTTGGAGTCCCTCAGGGTTCTCTGTCTACAATCACTCACCTGTAGCTCAGGCAGTCCCAGTATTTCAAATACCACCAGTAGATTGAAACCCCCCTCATTTATATCTCCAAACTGGATCTCTCTTCTGAACTCGAGTTCATCTCTCATATCCTATTTGCATTTCCACTTAGATATCTAATACAATCAGTCCCCTACATACGAAGGAGTTCCGTTCTGAGTGCGTGTTCGTTAAGTCCAACAAAGTTAGCCTAGGTACCCACCTAACACAATCGGCTATATAGTACTATACTGTAAAAGGTTTAAATACTTTTCACACAAATAATACAAAAAAAAACAAACACAAAAAATAAAGAAAACACTTTTAATCTTACGGTACAGTACCTTGAAAAGTACAGTGGTCCAGTACAACAGCTGGCATGCAGGGGCTGGCATCAAGTGAACAGGCAGGAAGAGTTACTGACTGGAGGAGGGAGAGGAGGTGGAAGATGGTAGAGCTGAAGGATCGTCAGCAATAGGAGATGGAGGGCAAGCTGCACGTGGCAATGTACACCAGACACGTGAACTAATACGTGATTGGATATGCGAATGCACGTTCGCGTCTTTGAAAGTTCACAACTTGAAGGTTCGTATGTAGGGGTCTTAGTGTGGTAAGTGTGTCCACAACAGAGCTGCTGGTATCTCTTCCAAACCCATGCCCTCAGCCTTCCCCCCTCAGTTAACTCCATCCTCCCACTTTCCTCCAAATACCTTGGAGCCATCCTTGATGGCTCTCCTCTCTCTCATAAATCTTGGTGAAAATACGTCCAGAATTTAACCCCTGCTTACCAATTCCACTGCTGAGGTCCTGGTCCACGCCACCACCATCTGTCACTTGGATTCTCACACTCATCTCTTAACTGTTCCCTGTTTCCACTCTTGTCCTCCTATAGCCTAATACAAACTCAAAAGCCAGACTGAACTTCTTCAATATAAGCAAATGAACCCCTCACTTGAAGCCCTCTTGTCATCTCAGAGTCAACCGCAATGTCCTTACCCTGGCCTAGAAGGCCCCATGACCTGGTCTTTTCTCCTTGCACTTGCCAGTTTGTTCACTCTGTCCACCACACTGGCCTCCGGCTGTCCCGTGTCCACCCTAGGCATGTGCCAGCCTCCCAGCGGTCATGCTTGCTGTCCCCTCCCCAGCAATGCTCTGCCCACCCCCCATGTAGACAGGGCCTGCCCTCTCATTTCTTGAAGTCTTCACTCAGATTTTAATACTCTGTCCCACTCCCCTGCTTTCTTTTTCTCCGCAGCACTTACCACCAGCTGACAGACTTTATACCTTATGTATTTATGTTGTTTACTGTCTGTCTTCCTCCCACTAGACTGTAAGCTCTCAGGGAAGGCTGTATTTTGTATTGTTCATCACTTATTCTCTGGCACATAATAGGCACAGAAGAAGTTAAATGACTCAAATGACTTCCAGTCACTGTAATAAACATTTGAGTGCTTGTTTGTGTAACACTGTAGAAGATTATGACAATGAACATAATACTAGCCTTACCCTTCAGGAACTTACTAGCTAATAAATACAGAAACTGTATACATATAAATACAGTAAACATACAAAATATAAATATAAAATAGAGATAGACATAAAATAAGACATAATACACACACAAAATGTAGTGGGAGAAAATAGGAAAGGAATAATGAAGATGGCTTTTTTTTTTTTTTTTT